ACGAGTCCCGGCACATAAAGCCCACTTGATGACCGGAAGCGATGTCTACGCCAAAATGTTCAATGGAACGTGGAAAGAGAAGGATGAGGTGGAGATTGCCGATTCCTATGCTGCTGCTTTTAAGGAATTTCTCCAGTTTTTCTACTTTGGACAAGTCCAGTTGACGACCGAAAATGTTTCCAAAGTGATGTATCTCGGCGAGAAATACAATGTGGCCGAGTGTTTGGTGGTGTGCAGCAAATTCGTGAAAAACAATCTCAACGATGACAACGTTTGCCGAAACTATGGATTGGCGACACTCTTCAACCAAGAAGATTTGAAGCGGTCATGTGAAACGGTTATCGGACTCAACACAAATGCTGTTCTCAACTCAATCGATTTTCTGTCATGCGATCCAAAAGTGTTGGCCAAGATTTTGAGACTGAATTGGTTGTCATGTACAGAAGTCGAGCTTTTCGAGGCATGCATGTCTTGGGTGAAAACAGCTACCGAGAAAAATGATCTAACCAAGGAACTAGTACAAGCTCAACTCGGTGATTCACTTTATAATATTCGATTTGGATCGATGTCATTCGAAGAATTTGGAACGCTGGTTCCGACATACGGTCAGTTATTCACGACTACTGAATATGTGGACATCATTCAAATGATTACAAACAAAGAATTTCAATCAAATAAGTTTAACCAAAATCGTGAGAAACGCTGTGATTCGGATTCGTGGGTTGAGAGAAATGACATTTTTTGCAGTCGATTATTTTCACGTTTCAGTTCGACAAACCCATATTTTGTCAAAAAAATGCGAAAATGTTCCAACGAAAGTGACTATAGTTGAAATATCTGGTTCCGAAGATTCCAAAAAAGATATGGTGAAATACAATGGAAAAACCCAATTATTTACAGTTTCAACCGTTAAATTCGTGATATCCAAACCGGTTCTAATTAGACCTGGATTTATGTACGAAATTCGATTAGAGCAAAATCCACCGGAAAATTGTGCAATTGGTGTTCTACTAAAATCTAAAGTTGAAATTATGGATTTTATCACTATCCAATTTTATGATGACCCATTGATACCGGACGATATTTCCCCAACAGGTTTAATATATCAACTTGATTTCTGCCAAATTGAAAAGTTATAATATGTATAGAGTATTGAACATTTTCATTGTCATCAAACATTACTTGATTAATGTTGAGTTTGTTAAAGTTACATATCTATTATTTGGAAAAAAATGAGAAGAAGAATAAACGAATAAAGTGTTGAAAACAAATTTTTTCAAGAGTTTTCTTCGAATGTTTGAATTGTTGGAAGTTTTTTTTTATTTGTCAAAGGAATGTGCATAAACTCCGCTACATAGACCAGAACAGAACGAAATCTTGTTGAACCATATTCGCTTGGACCAATGAAAGTTTTTGGTAATCATGTTCACAAGAGTTTGAGAAAATAACGTTTTCGCCGATCAAAATGAGTAAAGAAAAATCAAGCGTGGTTGTTTTCAAACGTAGTCAGATATAATGAAGAGTTATTAATACTTTTAATCATTTCAAGGCCTGAAAGAAATGATACCGATGATTGTATATTATTCATCTATTCAGTACAAATTTAGATAAATCAATTCATAAATGCAAACATATTATGAAAAATGACGAAACGTCATATTCTTTGCTCTCACTCGCCCTTGCCAAAGTTGACTATTCATGACTTGGTGTCACGTCTCCTACTCATGATCACGATCTCATTACTTACTATTGTACTATCGTGAAGCCCTGAATGTCGTGCTGCCGTGTATTTGATAGTCGTATTTATTCATCCTCAACAAAATGTTCGGAATAAATGCATGTTTTCATTTCATATGGTCGCAGTTAGTCACGAAATATCGTTCATTGGGAATAGAAAACATGAGACTGCTCCAAGTGTTCTTGATCTGGTGCTTCTCGTATCGAAATTTGTACGGTTATAATATTCTGGCTGTCCTTCCGACGGCTTCAAAATCACATTACTACATTGGAAGTAGCCTGATGAAGGGGTTGGCCAGAGAAGGTCATCAAGTGACTGTGATCAGCCCATTCAAAGAGGAAATACCTATTGAAAACTTCACTGAAGTTTTTCTAGAAAACTTTTTGGCAGAGTTTCAAAGAAGTGAATATTCACAAATCATTTCAAACGTTATTAGTGAGATTTAGTCCAAATTTCCGATTTTTACTCGTTACAGCATTGACAGTTAATAATGGCAAGGCCTTCAACAATAAGCACTTCTGGGATGCCATCTTAACATTCTACGAAGCTGGAAAGCTAATTGCAAATTGGTCACTTTCCAGTCAAAACCTTCACAATTTCATAAACACTAAGCATCATTTCGATGTGGTTGTGGTGGATGTCTGTTTTAGTGATCATTTTCTCGGTTTTGGTCAACATTTTAATGCACCTATTATCGCTCTGTCTTCGTTTGGTGCTTCAAAATTGACGACTGATTTGGTTGGTTCACCGAATTTTGCATCTTACGTGCCACATACACTGAATCCCTATACCGATCGAATGTCCTTTTGGCAGCGCATATACAACTCGCTGACCTTTTGGTTTGAAGATATTGCGATGCCATACTATTTCTTATCCGAACAGCAGAAAGTGATGGAGAAATTATTTCCAAATACAACAAATTGGCCGTCGCTTGATGAAATTCGACGAAACGTATCTTTAGTGCTGTTGAACACCCATACAACGATTGGCACACCACGACCATACGCACCGAATATGATTGAAGTCGGTGGCATGCAAATTGAAACAGAAATCGTACCATTGTCACCAGAAATACAAACGTTCTTGGATGAAGCGAACGATGGAGCGATTTTTGTTTCACTCGGTTCGAATGTGCTACTAACGAAATTGCCCAGAGGTCAATTAGAAGTGATTACAGGTGCCTTCAGTGGGTATCCGAATCATCGAATTCTGATCAAAAGTGACGAGCATATCGTTATTCCATCGCACAAAGAATCCGACGTGTTAGTCGAGCCTTGGTTCAATCAGCAATCGATCTTGGCGCACAAGAATATCAAACTATTTGTTACTCATGGCGGTCTTTTAAGTATAACTGGTAATACACACTTTTCGAATTTTATACCATTGATTTGAATGAAATCAACGAATTTCGCATTTTCAGAGGCCATTTATTTCGGCAAACCAGTCGTTGGTATACCATTTTTTTTCGATCAATCGATGAATGCCCAGCTCTCGGAACAAAAGGGGTTTGGAATTTCAATTCCAATTGAAACTCTAACCGCAGATAGGATTTCAACGGCTGTTAGAAAAGTTCTCAGTGAACCAAGGTAAGAGATAGACAGAATTGCGAATTGAAGAATTGAAACTCAACTTCATTCTCACCTTTTTCCCAAATCATTTGCAGTTACGCCGAAAATGCCAAGATCATTTCGAGTAGATTCCGCGATCAGCCGTTATTTCCATTGGAACTGGGGATGCATTGGGTCAAACATGTGGCTAAAAACAAGGGCGCTCCACATTTGAGAAGTGTCGCAGTTGACTTGCCATTCTACAAATTGTACAATTTAGACGTGTGGGCGTTCATTTTCATTGTAGTTTTATTGGGTACATTGGCCACGTTAAAAACGATTAAATTGATCATATCATTTGTGTTCACGTCGAATGTAAAAAGGAAAATGAAAGAAACTTAAACGAATCAAATCAAACTGTATAAAGTCACTCTCCTGATTCATATATTAATTCGATAGATTGGTTCATTAATTTATTTCAACAACTTTGATTAAAAAATTTCCTTTACAAAATAATTTCGCTATGCTAAAACAATATCTTTCTGTTGACATTGATTTTATCGTGCTTTTCCGAGATCTTCTATGCAAATGCTAGTTGCAGAAATAAAAGGGTTAACTGATTGTAGTATGTTGGCAATTTTGTCCAAGGATTCCATACCAGTCAAGATGGTTCTATGGTCACCTTTCACCGTAACAATATCAATTTTGTTTGTAACGACCTGAAAAATACGACGAAATTATATCAGTTTTTTGGACCTCTATGCATTTTCATCATACGATTACCGAATGTGTATGTAAATATACATCATAAGCAAAATCCCTACCTCTGAGAGACCATAATCAGCGGCCAATTTAACATAGTTGTCAGTTGGTTTGACCAAAATGACATTGGAGGTGGTAAGTTTGCGTTCTGGTCGATACAAGTGAGATGCTTGGATTTTCTGGTAGTATTTCAATGCGATCATTTCCACCGTTTCTGATGGAAGTTTGATATTTTT